CGTTTATACCGCTTATGTGGGCTGAAGAACACGTGCGCGTCACTCCAGAAAATTGCCAGCCAAATCGCTTTGGTGCCACTCATCGTTACACTGGGTCAGGTGGCGACTGGCATTATGTTTGCCATTGGGGTTTTGCTCATCTGTTGGTATCCAACAAAATATATACATATCACATGTTTGTCGTGATCCGAAGAGTAAAAACGCTCTACTCAATCCGATTGTGAACGCAACAGTGCGTTCGATTGCGTTAACGCCTTTGCATAAGCCACAAAAGGATGTCGTTAGGTTGCTGGACAACAGTCAATTAAGCTCCGAAGCTGTACGAATCGAAGGTATGTTGGAGGCAAGCGAAAGTTTACTACGGCCGCCACCACCACCACCACCCTCATCGCTACATGTGATAAGTAGATAGTATGCTCATCAGGGCAATGAATAAAGTGCTCAGCGCGAGAGAGCGCCTGCCATTGTTTAGTGTTAATATGCAATTAAATTGAAAAACAAAAAACGAACAGAATTAAATGTAACTGTGCTAAACTGTAAATAATGAAAAACACAAGCAGCCTCATAGACAGTAGAATCCAAGAAATCACCAACGTGCATACTTAATTCTCTTAAGTAGTATGGTATCTAATATTGCTAAAAATAAGTCCATGTAAAATAGTAATTGTAATGGTTAATTTATAAAATAATAATTTTTATATTCAAAACCGGTTCATGAACATTTTGCGTACTCACTGTAGCTCTGAGATAGAAACGAAATGATGCAACAAATTTTACAAAGAAATCCAGTTTCAAATGACAATCTAGTGTATAAAAAGTGAAATGTATTTGCAAATATGCATACATATGTACATTAGGGTGCACCACAAAAGAAAATTGCGGTTTTTCCACCGGAATTATAAAACGTTTTATATTTTAAGAATGCCGCCAAAATATATTTCGGAAATATATCAAGATTTAAGTGAGCTAGACCGATTTGAAAATAACTCCAAAAATTTAATTATGAAATTTGATTCCGTTGAAACAAATTTTTATAAATACATATTTACGCAGACCTTTTAAGCTAAAGTCTTCTATCATCTTAGGTGATTTTTTAGAAAACGTATCTTTGAAAACTAATTTTATTGATAAAAGGCTCGATTTTTAGAGGTATTTTCAATTAGGTCCAGCTCACGTAAATCTTAATAGTTTAATAAATTTTATATTTCTAATAGAAAAACAGAACCTGTTTTTAATGGAAAACGATGCAGCCTAATTTACATACATAATTATGTAAACATTATTGCATTCTAAATTATTGGTATCTTTCCTTAAACGTAAAAGTCTGCTCAATCATTTGTTATCAATATTATTTCTATTAAAATTTTTTTATTAAATAAAAAAATATAATTTATTGGCTTGGCATGTGACATTAGCTCATCGACATATCTATTTTACTCCTCATTTTCCATAACCTTACTACCATCAAATATGTATACATATATAAACATACATAGTTACTTCCCACTATAGGGTTTAAGTCTAAGAAAACAACAAAAAGTATTTTGAATTCAAAATTTATTATTATTAAATATTCCCTGAAAATTGGAAACTAAATTAAATTATTGAAGAAGATTATTAGTTTTTAAGTTCATAAATTGCTGATCTGTTTTTTATTTTAATATTTTCTTATGCTGATTTAAATTTTTTTTTATACATTAAGCAAGAAAAGTGAAGAGACAGAACAGCAAAAAGTGATAAGCGAGAAAGCTTCCTGAATAAGAATCCAAAAGAAATTTTAATATGAAACAAAGAAAAGATTATTACATAAATCAACTGTAATAAAGAAAGAAAATGTGTTTTTAATTTTTTCTCAAAAGAAATTACCTCTTAAAAAATTTTGCATATTATACCTACAAGGAGGTTTTCTGTACCTGTTGATGTGGGCACTTGTAATCAAGAGATCTAACTCAACAAAAGAAAGAGGCGCAATTCTGGCTAAGACAGTTCAAGGACAGTAGGCAGATAGTTAGGGAGATTTTCCGGGAAATTCTAGCAACTGTTTTTGAACTCACCACTAGCTTGAACGCTCTTTTTTGTCTTTCGAAGGACCAATTGAATGATATGCTGCAAACTCAGTTAGTCTAAACTTAATTTCCGCAACTTAACTTAACTTAATATTTTGGCTAATCTAGTTTATGAGAAACTGTGTTGGCGGTTAGTTAAAACTTAACTTACCGTAAGAAACTTAAGAACCTGTAGATTTTAGATTCTTAAGTTACGCCCTTACGGAAATCGAGAGCGGTGAGAGAATCAGGATTACCAGATTTTCGTTTTTGTATTTCCTAAAAATGAATGAACGCGAACATATTCTTTTGCAAGAATTTTTTCGATGTGGCATTTCAGTCGGCAAACTGTAAAACAACTGAACAACTTTTTCTCAAAACTTTTTTGTCGGAGTACGGTTCACCGTTTAGTTCGGCAAATTTGGTTTGGTTCTGAAGCAAAGAGCTGTTGATATTGTTGCCTACATAAGAAACTATGGTTCTGAGCGGGAGTTATACTTGAAATTCGGAACTAAACGCATATAAAAGAGAAAGCCGCAACCATAATCATCAAGTCATTCGGAAAGAAAATCAATATCAATTTTATTCCACCAGAGAGTGTTCAGAACATTTTTGTCGAGCTCTCAGTGAGACAGAGTGGGAAAAGAACGTGCAAAAATCACCAACCAAAAGTGTCCGGACACGAACGGTGAGTCCGCCTTAGGAAATGAAAAAATATATATATTTTTCTTTGTAAAACAATAAAAATTAAATTAAATTTAAATAGTAAAAAATATGTGTTAAAAAATAAAAAAATTAATAAATTAAATTTCTAAAAATTGTATTTAATTTAAAAAATATGTTTCTTCTTAAAACAATAAAATCTATAAACTAAAAGAAAATTAAATAAAAAATACAAAAATAATAATTCCAGAAAGCTGAAAAATATAAGTTTCTAGAAATTAAAGGGAATTTAAAAAAATATTTTCCTTTATAAAACAATATGAGGTAATCATTAAATTAAAAAAGTAAGAAAATAAGTTTCTAAATACCAAAAAAGTTTTTAAACCAAAAAATCGGAAAATTAAAAGAAAATTTAATTAAAAAAAGAAAGTAAAAATTAAATAAAATTAAAAATATATTTTTTTAAACAATAAAATATAAAACTTAAACGAAATTAAAATTTAAAACCAAAGACAAAAAATGTCCCCTGCCGGAAATTTAAAAAAAAGGTTTCTTTTTAAACCAAAAAAATCTGAAAATTAAAAGAAATTTTAATGAAAAAAGAGAGAATAAAATAAGTTATCTTTTCTAAACAATAAAATCTAAAAATTAAAGGAAATTTAAATTTAAAAACAGAGACAAAAAAATTCCCTTACCCGAGGACTCGTTCTCGGATCTCTCGAACGGAACACTGATGCTTTGCTCACTCGGCCATTGTGCCTGTTAAAATAGCGCGAGCAAAATTATATACAAGTGCTTTATGTTAAAAGAGCTTTTCACCATGAAAGTTGGCAAGAGAGCTTTTTATTTGTAACCCTTTCGCGCCAGAAGAAATAAAGTCATTCAAGTTATCTTGCCTACTGTCTTTAAATTTTCTTACAAAAGGCTTTCAACCGACTTAGCCAGAATTTCCCTGTTGGTTTATCCTGGCACGAAAGTCTTACAAAAAAGTTCCATGCCAAATTTCATGGTGAAAAGCTCTTTTTATAGAAAACACTTGTATATCAGTTTGCACGCAGCTGCTCAAACAGTCGCAATGACCAAGTGAGTCCTCTGGCAGCGGAATTTACTTTTAATTAATTTTTTTTTTTTAATTTTTAGATTGTATTTTTCCAAAAAGAACTGTAAATTTTTTAATTACATTTAATTTTTAGAAACTATTTATTTTATTTTATTTTATTTGTTTCTTTGTTAATCTAATTTTTAGAAAAATTTTTAAAAAGAAAAAATATATATATTTTTTTATTTCAATTAATTTTTTTACTATGGTATTTTTATAAATAGTTATTTAACTGCACATATGACCAACGTATGCCTGGTTCCTACTGGTTCCGATATAGCGATAGGTACCCAAGCTGTCTCCATGGGCGTTATGATAGATCTCGAAGTTCAAAAAGCTTTTCCCAGACGAGCTCCTGAATAGACTTCAACTATTTTATCGTTCGCAGCCCGAACCGCTATACGGATCTAGCATCGTCACAGGCAACTTACCTCTTACCACCAACCAACCAACGTTTGTTCATATAGGAGCGGATCAGATAAAGATAATTTCGAGTTAATGAGTTGATCCGAATCAACGCGGCCGTCTGTCTATGCAGTTTGCGGCTGTCACCTTTCCATACGTTTCAAGGTATGTAGAAATCCATAATTATTGACTTCGCTCATAGAATGTCCTCCTGACCCTACCTGATTGATGAACCAACGAAGGTCCTTTGAGTGATACGCTTCAAAGTTTCGATTTTAAAATAAGACTTTCAATTATGAATAATTAATACACATTTAATAATTGAAACATATTTTGACTAAATTCGTTACAATTCGTTAATATCAAAATCTAGATACTTTACTTTCACATTTCTCATTGCCATACGTATGTATTTGCTCTCTTCAACAGGTAAGTATGTATGTATGTATTATAAATTATTTTAATATTGAAATAAAATTATAGTCTAACACGATTAATCCACATGCTGGCCAAAACCAAACAGGCGCTGACCATGCTAAAACTGAGCAAAGAAGGTAGCCTGGCAGAGGCTTTGTCTGTGTCTGCACGTCCTAAGTCTAACTGGTCGGCCAAATCATCGGGTACATCCAAGTAGACGCGATCAAAACCTAATGAGAAAATTAATTTACGTAATTTCTGTACATCAACAAAATCATTCGCCGAAGACCAAATAGTGATGGAACTTTCATTCGTCTCATTAACAGCAGCCACTAGTCCATACAGTTGGTACAAACTGTTGGCGGCGATGCCGGCGTGCACCGGGAATGTGATTGGATGCTGTTTGGCGGTGACGTTGTTGTTCTAGTTAAAAAATGAATCGAATAAAATAAAGATTAAAGTTTATAAAAAATGCTACTTAGGTTATAAGAAATTTGGGAAAACATTTTTTTTTTTAGTTTGATTTTAGAGTCTGAAAATTTAGCAAAAATATTTATTCTGTAACACAAATCTAAGGTTTCGTTAACGGCTACGTTTATGATTATAAGGCCAAATTAGAGGTGCCATAACCATAACGCCTTAGCCATAACGTAGCAAAATACTTCAGAGCTGCTTATGGTTATGGCGAAAAACTATAATAAAATAGCTAATACCTACGGTTATGGTTATGGCTCTGGCGTTATAGTTAATATGACACCAATAATCATTTACAGAGCTGCGTGTACGTTTTATGGCTATGGTATGGCATTACTAATTCAGCCTATAGGTTCATCGATGTCAAGAAATTTTTACGAATGATTACTAGTACTTGCAAGTTTTTACTGGAAATGCATACAATAACCCAAAAAATTTGCAAGAGAGAGCGAATTCGAAAGCGTAACAACCCGAGAGAGCTGCAAATTCTTTCTGGTAAAAATTTTACTAGCAGGGATTTGCAAGAGTGAAAAAGTAAGGTTATAATATGTAATGTATATTTTTTATGTTTATCACGATGGGAACTATTTCCACTTAAAAAGAAAATTGCGCGCGCCAAAACTTAACCGTCAGAAAGTGCCAAAATTACGTAAGTTGAAAGTTTTTACTCGTTTTACGTTCCATTACTTTTTCTAATAATTCTAATTTTTTATTTCTCTCAACTTTACTCTCTAGTTTTATTTTACGCTCTCGCCGCAAGTACTTACTGGAAAAGTTAATGAAAGGACCTTATGATTGGGAATAGGATTACGACTACGTTTACGGTTGCGAATACGTTTGGGGTTATGGTTACCATTACGATTATGACTACGTTTTGATTGCTAATGCCTGGATTTTAATGGAAGTAACGGAACGGAGTGAACTGTCACTTAATTATCTTTTGTATGGGCAATGAATTCAAACGATTATAATGCACTTGAACGCAATGTAAAACGGAAGCATCAAAAATCAATAGATCCTTACGAATTCACCGCTATTTCTTCCGATTCGCTCCGTGCATTATAACCAAGGTATAATACACACATACATTTAGTGAAACTTGTGCGATTCCGTCGGTGCTAGTCTCTACCGACAGAAATTACAACAATGCCGACCATAGTTTTATATGAGCACGCAAATACGTGATTTACTGCTGCGATTTTTTCGAACATTCATAGTTCTTACTTTCATCGTGTCGAAATCGCAGACAAACGGATTTTGTAAAATTAAAGCAAACTATAACGTAGGAAAACAGAACATGTCTGATGTAAAACAGCTAAAAATACATATCGAGGGCTTATATTCAATACGACCTATCTGCAGTGTATATAAAAACTACTTTCTAACGTTAGAACCCATCTGAGACTGGTTGGAATTTTAATTGTGAAATTCAGTAGTTAATTCTACCGACAAGCGATATATAACGTCAGCATTAACATCATCGAGATGAATTTTTATATAGGAATCTTAATTTTGTAAAAACTGATGATAGCTCATATCGAATATAAGCCCTAGATATACTCTTTTGTTGAAAAATATTTTGTTTTTTTTTTCAAAAAAGCCATTTTTACTGCAAAAGAATCGCATAGATATGCGCGTACTTGCGTTTTCGAAGTAGTAAACTCTGTAGCATCAAAAACGATGCAGACTTGTTCCGACGAAATCGCACCAGTGTGTTTATGCCGACAAACATAGCAAGACTTTATCGACAAAACTTATCGATACTTTAGTCGATATATTATGGGTGAAGGCAGAGGCTATTAGATATGTATGTGTTTTAGGATACATCACCGAAAAAGTTGTTAATTTTATTTTGTAAAAAACCACCAAATTTTCAATCACGTAAATCTTAATATTTTTCCGAAATACATTGACAGAAGTCTAGATATTAATTGCACATTTTCTTTAGAAAAACAGTACCATTTTTTTTATATTAATTTTGATGCACCCTAATGTAAATACATACATATGTACGTATGTTACTTACTTTGATGGCCACCAACATCTCATCGATTTCATGCTCTGTATAGTAGCCCTCTGTGTAATTGGCGCCCCAAAGTGTTGTCCAGCCAATCGAGAGTACGGCTGTTTCGAATTTTGCGGCGCCGGTGAAGAAACGCTCTGGATCAACTGGCACCGTATTAGATTGATTAACGGGTCCGCCAAAGATGTCAGCATTTAGCCAAACAGGATGGGACATCTATGTAAAAATTCAATTAATATAAAAATTGTATATGTATGTACGTTTGACCGTACCAGAAAAAAAATTCGCTGTCCACGCCTGAGCATTAAAGTATTTTTGCAAGGCAATTTCGAAAATTTTTTTTTCTGATCGTATTATATTTTATATTTTTATATTTTTCGTCATATATTCGGCATTTATAGTCCGATCTTAAAGAACGATATATCGATGTTCTTTTTTCGTGGAGTTAATTTTTTTTTTTCTTCTAAAGTTCATTCACCATTAGTCAGGAGTTTACGGCGAACTTTTTTGTTGGCTTGTACGGTGGTACGGTCTAATGTAAATGGGTAAAAATAGTAAAAAATATTTCAAAATAATTGAGTATGTATTTTATTCACATAAATAATTGATTGCAAGAGCCCTACAACTCGAATAGTAACACCTAACTTCGTCTCCCCATTTACCAATGGTATCAATTGACTTAAAATATCCAACGAGCCTTCGAATACTTCAATTGACTTAAAATCCAATTTCACGGCCTTCGCATCGCATAATGACAAGTCCGAGGAATTCGCTGGTGGATGAGCCATCACCGGCAATTCATCGCCAGTGTTGTTCAGTCTGCCAAGCACAATATCAGCCTCAATCATATTGATGTCGCCTGAAAATTTATTTCTTAATGAAAATAAGCATAGATGCATAAACCATTAATTAATAAATTAAAATTTTATACAAAATTTATTTACATGTATGCATAAAAGCATTTAACTTACTTAACGACAATTACAGGGGCCCCAAGCGTGTGCGCAACAAATGAAAATTCAGTTGCGTATACGACACGCTGCCCGGGCAGCAATGTATTTATGTACTAGGGATGTTGCGAAAGTGAAATTTTATACATCCGCGTATGCGAATGCGAATGCGAATGTCAAGTATTTTTAAGAAAAAGGTAAATTAAGTTATTTAGGTAAATAAAAAATGGAAAAGTTAGTAATTGGTTATTTTATTTATTACTTGAATTGAAAAATTGGATCATTATATTTAATAAAAATAATTAGAATTGCATTGGGGCTGAAAATATTGCATGTATCCTCCTAACTTTCATATCCACTTGAAGAATCTTCATTCTCATGTCTTTGGCTGTTTCAAAATTTGGGGAGCCTGTAACGTCATCAGCGTTTTTTTGATCTTAGTTTTTGTAATTCATTTTTAATACTTTCTTGTGTGACTGATTTTTGCTTACAGCGAGCTAAATATGTCGGTGGATATATGGAAAATAAATTATTATTTTCCATGAATGAAAACTTTGAACAACATTTTTTTTTCAAAGCCGTGGCTTCCAGCCGAATCGGTTCAGAATATTGTTATTTTTTTATATGCATTTGAATTATTGGAATCACGGATGATGGGGGGTCTCAGATAATTACGTAATTCTTACCTAATTAAAGATCAGACTTATAGCTTTTTAATTATTTAAGCATCGATTTCCTATTGAAGGAGCTTACTCATTGACTTTAAACAGCAAAGAACGAAGACGTAGGGGGAGAGTTTTACCCAAGGATTCAATGTGCATCCATATTGTTAAAGCCAAAAGCCTTCAACGGTTGGGAAACACTGGCTTGCTTTTCGGCACTGTGGTCTGCTGCAAAGAGACAAACTAACGAAAAGCAACCGGTGTTTCCCTTACGATATTGTATGCTTATATAAGTATGTAACTCGGATTTTTGTGGGCAGTTAAGTTGATCAGTTACGTTGACATCAGTCATTCGCGCTTCAGACCGTTCTACCTAGGCAGCAGCAATCTACGCACTTTGAGGTACTTTCTTGTAACCGCCTTGAGAATAAAATAAAGTTAGTCTTTTTACTAATATAACCTTTTTACGTCTTTTATTCCAACATTTATAAACGTCATATTTGTTGCGAGTTCGCACCGGCGCACAAAGGAAGGTCGCCACCCAAAGATTTGGTCCAACGAACCGTCGAACTCTGCCAGCAAGCAATTTTATCATCCTGTGGTTAAATACGCTTTTCTATTAAGTTGAAAAATTATATATTTCGTCAGCCAAAAAGTGTATAAATAAATATATAGCATATTGCTATAAGATTTATTTATAAAAACGGTACATGCTTATGACCTTATTCATAAAAAAGAAAATAGATGTAAAGTAACATTAAAAAAATCAATTTGCTTACTTTTTAAGAATTTGGGAAAAACATTTAACTAAAGTTTTTGTGCACCCATCTCTTTTTCTGTTTATTATTTTCAAATTTTTCTTTTCCTTAATACTCATTGAGTTTTCATTTACACCCAGCAAAAATCAAAGTATTTTATAAGAAATTTGTTGACCGTTTCTCGCACACTTCTCTCATGCTTTTTTATCGTAGTTATTATTCTGTTGACATCTAAATTGCCATAAATTTTATGTTGTTGCCAATACATTGTTTTCTGGCGTTTCCTCTGTGAACTTTTATAACTACATTCATAAAAATATTACTAATTTTGATTTATAATTTTTTTCCATCTTGTTATTGCTGAATATCAAAAAGGAATTAATAAATAATAAAAAGTTAGTTACAATTTTAGTGAATGGTTCTTTCAAATAATATTATTTTATGGTTGAAATGACTTGATTGCCGTCAGGAGCTTATCAACTTTTTTGCCAAAACCAAAGCAGACGGGAAGGAAAAATAGTTGTTCATTAACGATTTGTCTGAAATATCGTTCTTGAAACGCGTTAGTGCTCACTAAATTTGTAAAAATAAAATTTTTTCACTTAATTGTTATATTCTTCCTCATTGTGGTAAATTTATCATCATCACAGCAGGGCGTAATCTTCTTTTCTATGATTATTGTATCGCTACTTTGAATTTCTCAATTTTGACAATTCTGATCTAAAGGTAAACGAAAGCTCAGAAACTTTAAATGCACTGAAATTCACTAATACCCAATTCCGCAAAAATCACCTTATTTGGTATTTCCTTTGTTAAAAGTTATTGTAAATCACATATTTTTATTGCCTTATTAATAAAAAATAAAAATTTTAAAAAGCTTTTTAAATTGCCGTTTACAAACATTTTTCAATTTATAAGCCTTTTTTAAGCTACTTTATTGTTTATGAATAAGGCTATTACAAATTAGCACAATCAAAACACGTTCCTTATCGAAAAATTTATTATTAAGAAAATTTGCTGTTCTCACATTTTCTTTCAACATCCAATTCGACTTTTATTACTTTTTGTACAGATATGTCATCGCCACCAGGACGGCGCAATCTTGTATTCTATCTTTCTTGTCAAATATGCATTTAGGTCTAACTGTCATACTACTATTAATGGTAACCATGAATATTCATTAAAATCGTTTCAATTCGGAATAAAAGTAAATTACATACTGCTAGTGTAAATATATTTTTTAATATAAACTACCTATTTTAATTCTAAAATAAATCAACAATCTCAAGATTTAAAAGAAAATTGTCTTCAAAAAATACGTCCCAAATCATCCCTGTTGATATCATAATTCAGATGCAAATTAGAATAGAAATTTTGATACAAAAGTTTTTCCGCGATATTCATCATACAAATTTATCATCTTACTTGTCCGTATGTCGCTCTGGAAAGAAATATATTTTAACTGATATGTTTTCTTGAAAATAAATGCAAATTTACCTATTTTTTCCACCGGCAGGCACGAATATGATATTCAAAACAGAAGCAATGACATGAATTTTACACACATTGTTGTATTTTAGCGCAAAACGATAAGTTTCACAAATATTTTAAATTATTGCCTGGAACATACACATTTATCGTTATTATTGGAAATGCAAGACTTGGCACGCATTTTTAATTTCTTTTTTATTGAATTCAAATGAATAAAAACACATTTTTCTAAAATATTTCTCAATTTACATTTTAAAGTTTTTTCTGAAACTTGAATGTAACTCTGTGCGGAGAATGAGAGAATTCAAAATCAGGTGATCTCAGCTGTTTTCAAATGTAAACAAACAAAATGGTGCTTTCCATACTTGTAAGCCTATACAATGGTATGAGTTTTTAAAGAAATATCTTTAAATAAAGGGTTATAAAAATGTTTATAAAAAGCTTTCTTTTGAAAATTTTTAGTTAGTTTATATTCATACGCTTATAAACAACTTTTTTTGAACCTTTATTATAAGAACAGAAAATTGGAGAGTGGAAGCTTTCATTTACAAAAAGTGAGTTTTTTCGTAATTCTGTCTGAATATTTGGTTCCCAAATACTCTCATGACATTCAACTTTCATTTCTTATTTAAATTCAAAAGTTATTATTTCCGAGTTATACAATTTTTGCAGTTATCTAAATTTCCCGCCAATTTCACTTTTTTCAATATATGATTTTGTACATATATGTATGTATGTATGTATATATGTAGTAATATTACCAATCTATTCTCACAAAACATTTTTTGGTATTAATATAGTTTTTTAGCTCTTTTGTGCTCATGTACATAATACGTACGTACCTACATATGTGCAATACATAAATAACTAGATAATTGCTCATAATTAGCATACGAGAACGTACAGGCCCCTATTGCGAGTGTCGACTGGCAGTAGAATAGAAATTTGTCGATCGAGTCGATCATCTTTTATTTTGCTATTGTGTAACTTGATCGATAAAAATTTGTACTATTGTGAATGGTTGACAGAATTGTAAACAGCTGTTTGTTTGTTTACATTTGTTTCTTGAGTATTTTATTTACATCATTTTTAAAATAATTGCTTTTATTATAAAATTTAAAAAATGGACACAGTTGAAATATGATTTAGTGATGAGGAAGATGATACGGAAGCTAATAGATTAGTAGAGTTGGCTAAAGCAAGGAGGGAATTGCGAGATTCGTCGGATCCCTTGGACTTGGAAGGTGTATGTACATGTGTGAGTTTTATGAATAGAAGTTGCGTTCCCGATGCTTCACGGTTTTTAGGCTTTACATGATTTGCAGGAAAAGCTGTTTTCCTCATTAATAAACTTTATGGAAGTTTAAGAAATACGGTACGGTTAAGTTTTTTGTACAATGATGTTGGGTTTTTGTGTCCAAACGCGTGACCCGAGTTTAAAAACTTTAACATAACAACATAACAAGTGTATTGAAAGAATTCAACTTTAATTTAAAACTAGCCAATGCCCGCTTACTTCGCGGCGCCTAATAAGAGCTTTTGCGTTAGCCAATGCAAAAGAGCGTTTAAAAACAAAATTAGTCTGTAAAGTCAAAGTTTTTGATTTAAGTTGAAACCACTAAGGCGCAGTATCCTCCTCACACATAGGCAAATTTTCATCTGTGAGATCTCTGCCAATCATGCGTGATCTTTTTGTATGATCTTACGTATGCCAATAAAAGTTCTTATAGGGAAACTCAAGAGCACAGAAGTGCATTTTCTTTATAGGAAGGCCAAGAATCCTCGCTGTGCCATAGGATGAAAAGTTTTCCGGTACATTGCTAAATGAGTAGTGTGATCTCTTAAGTATCTTTCAAATGAAGCAGTTGATATACCTACGGTGATCTTTCCTTGTTAATTCGCCACTTTTACAATTCGTGGTAAAATTTATGAACTGATTTCAGGGTAGATGCAAGACCGCATGATCGTGCATGAGGGCGTCAGAAAAACTTAACCCCA